CTTTTTGAGATGGAGTGAATTTGCTCCCGTCCTATTATACAAATTATTATTCATCGTTTTCTATCCCTCTCTCTCTCTCTCTCTCTCTCTCTCTCTCTCTCTCTCTCTCTCTCTTGCTTCCACTCTCTTCTGCCGTACTACGTGTTGGGCTTTTTGATCCGAATGCGTTTTTGTCTCATATTTTGCGTGTCATTCCAATTCCGTCGGCCGGCGGAACGGTTCTCACCAATTTCTTCTTGTTCACGCACACTCCGCACTCTCGCTGCCCGTGTATCTCTCACTCGCCCCATATTACTATTTCATATTTTATTGTTGTTGCTTTGTTTGTCTCTTTGTTCGTCGTGATGTTAATCAATAAGTAAAATATAAAACAAAAAGCCGACAACATGCAATGAAAAATACAATTAGCGCACATAAAAGAAGCGAGAAAAGCAACAGCCAAGATCTCAAACATGCTCAAAATTAAAACGAGAAGAGATGGGAATAAAAAGGAACGCGAACGCGAAGTGCGTGGACAATCTCAATCTGAACCACACCAAAAACACACAGAGGAGAGAGATGAAAAAAAAAAAAAGACACCGACCATTAGAGCCTGTTGACTCTTTGAGCTGCTGTGTCAATAACAATATCCAATGAAGATCAAACGCATTAAACGCTTTCAATGCGGCTGGCCTGGCTCGCTGCCTTTTTTTTACCAGTGTTTGCCAATGAAATTAGCAAGAGTATTTTAAACACAAAATCTGTATCAAACGAGAACGATAAACATTGTGCGGCCCCGTTGTCATGCAATATGGCTTTAATGAGGATGGAAAATATTCCTTCTTTTTTTTAAAAAATAGTCATCCATTGTGGTGTGTTAATATGTGCTAAAGATTACAAGCAAAAGAAGACAACAACACATACACGAGCACATCCAAATTAGACGATTGTTTGACTTTCGATTAGAATATATCCAAATGGCCGTTTTAATTTTCACTCTTTGTTAATATTCACTCTCAAATCAGTTGAGATTGCATGTCGATCAGAATACACGTCAATTCTTTTGTTTTTCTTTCATTCTTTTTTTTCCATTTTTTTTTCTCTTGGTGAGTGAATGGAAATTCCCAGGGGAATTGATCAGTTGAAAAATGTTCAATCTGAATCGCAATTTCAATTGAACATGTTTCTGTTTTTTCCAAATTTTGACATTCTTATTCATTTATTGCATCATTTATTTCCCCAAGAATATAAATTGAATCATATTTGACGAGACGAATGGACGAGAAAAATGTTTTAAGAGATTCAATGATGTATGAATGAAATCTCAGACCCTCTGCAGAGCGCAATCCATTGCAATTGCATGCATTCACAACCGAAAGAGTCCAAATTGATGTTGAAATTTCCTTCATTTTGGTGGTAACTTTTAAGCATATCTTTTTTTTTCGGTGAAATATTAGTCAAACGAACGTTTAGTAGAGTTATTTCGCTGTGTGTTTCCATCCATTTCGAATGTTCGTTCTAATTCCACATCTCGATTGATGTACTTTAGTTGAGCAAAAAAAATAATAACAACAGCAGCAACAACGACGACGACGGCGACGAGCACAATGCTTCAACTGTAATTCTCCTTAACCACACAATACATTCAATGTAATTCTCAAGATTACATGATTTCGTTGAAAGATTGAACCTGCTTTGGCTTGGTGAGCAGTGTGCGCGAGCGCGCGCGCGTGTGTGCATGCATTCATGCGCATTGGCAAAGGGCAAATATCGAGCAATCGCTCGGTCGGTCGGCCGGTCCATTTAAATATTTTACCATGAAAACTGCATTCAAATACCTACATTACACAGATCAGAGCCGGCCTGTACATGATTTATATATATTTGCAACGGCGGACGATCGCAGCAAAATGTTGAATTTGATTTTGATCACTTTGACATCACTCTGTCGACTGGAATTGTTGTGGCCGCGTTTTTATTGAATGCAATGCAAACAGCATAATTCATTTCAGACTCCACAGACGGTTTTTTTTCTGCACACGACGAGAAGATGGAATGAGAAAAAAATACATACACATGGTGAAATAAGTGCTACGGTATGTAGAAGCAAAGAGTCGCGAGCGCGCGCGCGCGTGTTCGTTCGCTCGCACAAAGTGAGCGTTCAAAAAGCGTGTCCATCTTGAATCATCATTGAAAACAATCTCACGAAACATCAAATCGTCAACGTTATCGCAATCACATTTCCAAGTGACAGATCATTCAATGCGGTCCCTCCGTTCTAAGAGCTACGCTTCGATTGCTTTTGACCAAAAATGAATCTCTTTGGCGCATCGAAGCAAATCAAATTCAATGAAATGATTTCGTGTGGTTTTTTTTCTGTTCGTTTTTTTTCTGTTGATCTTAAGGAAGCTTTGGGACGATGCACGCGCGCGCACGCAATTGAATTGTTGCACCCAAAAGAACAAGACAAAATAAAGAGAAACAAATATCCGACGAAGAAGTACAGTGCAGCAGCAAGCGCAGCAACAACGACAAGAAATTATCATACAAAAAAGCGATGTCATGACGCAGTTTTCGTTGCATATTGAACGACAATCATTCCATATCCATTGCAGATGCACTTTGCTGCATAGATAAAATACAAATCGAATTACTATTTTGCAATGTGTAGTGTGTACCCACACGCGTGCGCACTCGCGCCCGTTACAAATGAAGTAAAGTACAGAAAGGGCACAGAAGACGAAGGAAAGGAAAAAACGACGACGACGACGACGACGACGACGACGACGACGACGACGACGAC